ATCAACAAAAATAAAAGTAGGAAAATCAAGCTGATTGCGTTGATTTCCTTGCCCATTTCCACCTGCCACTACAATTGCTTCATTGTCTCCCATTTTCCATCGTATTACTTCATTCCTCTGTGAATCAGAAACATAAAGAAATTCATTTTTATTCATTGCCAAGCCCTGACAATTAATACTGTCAACGAGAACGTCTTGATTTTGATTCATCCATTGAATCACTCGTCTGTTTCCAAGATCAGCAATGATGATCGAATGATTTTGTTCATCAACAATCACATCTATTGGTCGACCCAACTGATGCATTCGATTTCCTTGTTTATTTTCACCTGCAATAGTTTGTCCTTCATTTGCATTATGTTTCCATTCAACAATACGATGGTTATCTCGATCAGCAATGAAAATGTTTTTGTTTTTATCAATAAAGATCCCAGCAGGGTGATTAAGTTGATTTAATTGTTGTCCTTGTCCATTTCCAGCAGCTACAGTAATGGCAGTTTGTTTCCATTTGTTAAATTTTGGTTCTAGTAAATGATGCAAACAAATTAAGATTTCAAGAAAAAGAAATTTAAACAAATCGAAATGAAAGATGGGAAATAAATAATGAAAGAAAGATTTTTGAAATGGATCAGATAAATCCTAGTAACCTAAAATCTAATATAATTTACTCATTATTTATTATAAAATGTTAATGTATAATTCTATTTTTGAATTTATCGATACATAATCATAATAAAATAAAGAAAATTTTTAATGTATTCTTTTATAGATTCATTTGATTTAATTTTTATTAAAAAAGTGATTTCAATCGCAAAAAATATCTACCTTCACTATTGATATAAAGAAAATGAAACTAATTTTGTTACTTAACTAAATTAATAGTTACAAAGAAAATTATGGAAAGTTTCTTCTGAATAAAAATCTTTCTATAATATCACACGTTGAATAGATCTCTTCGATTTTCACTGTAGAAAAGTTATATTGTAAATAAATGGAAACAACAATTTGTGAGATTGAACGAAATTCTATTTGACTCTAACATCATAAAATCAATTGTCTCTCATTTATTCATAGTTTTTACAATTAAAAAGAATATTTTAATCATCATTGATTTATTCAGTTGTTGAAAATAACTTTTAAATATTTATATCAAATAAAGAAAATTTAACTCAACTATTTTATTTTTTCTAATATAAAATGCATCAATTAATAGATATTGACACTTTTTAACAATTGATATCAAATTTATGAAAGTTTTATTGATGAAGTTTGCAAACTGAAAAAGTAAATTTTGATTTTATCAATCAATGATTTTTTGAATACTTGAAGAAAATGTTTTTCTAATATAATTTTATAGACAGTGAGAATTATCTTCTAAAAACTTACTTTTTGATGAAATAATTGAAATTTCATCAATAAATGATTGCGATTCTTGTTGAATAGAAATATTTGATGAATTATTTAATTCTTCTGTAATTTCGTTTAATTGATTTCTTAGATCGTTTAAATTAATTTCATTAAATTCATTTTCGGCATGAATTTGTTTTATTTGTTCACATAAATCATTAAATTTCTTTTCAATATCATTAACACATGTTTGTGATGATTTAACAAGGATTTCTCTGTACTCTTGCGCTTTTTGTTGAATTAATTCAATTGACTTACGTTCCCATTGATCAATTTGTTTTATTAACGAATGATTTTGTGGGTTTTGTCTTTGTTGATTAATTTTTTGTTTAAATTCATCATAATCATTAATAATATGGTTTAATTCTTCATTTAACATTTGTTGATGTTCTGTTAAATGTGTTAAACAAAATTCTTTTGAACATCCTCTACAAGGATATGTTATTTTTTCTTTATTGCATGTAAAACAATGTGTTTTATTGTTTGCCACTGCCATCTCGTTGAATATAAATTTATAGAAGAAATCTAAAAAGAATTTTATTGTAACAAAATCTTAGTGATAAAACTGATGTGGTATCTAAGATGGTTAGACAAAAAATGAGAGTGGACTTTGTTTTAATTTCAAATGCAAAGTCTAAACGATTTCCATGATATTTTGTCAATGAAAGTACATTTTAATGTAGATTAAGGGTATGTTTGTTAGTAAGTTTTCATCAAGTCCATATCTACACTCATAAATGCTTATTAGAATTGACTTAATCTCATTGAGACTTACGCTAAATAGAGATGAATTTGCAAAGCTCTGAATCAGTTATGCTAGTAGTCATACATTAGTATATCTTGCATATATATGGTACTTTCTTTTCATTCTAAAAATGCTTTATATCATCATTTAACTTCTGTAGAGTTTGCTCTTATATTGCAGAATCATCTAATATACGATACTTTGTTGAATTTGTCGTTGCTGGTTGACTCATAGTAGATTAAAACACCAGAAATATCTTACAAATAAGAAATGAGATAAAAATACTCTTTTTTTTTCGATACTTTTGAAAATATATCATCGAAGAAAACGTTTAATAAATACTCACTAAACACACCGAAATACAAATGAAAGAAAAACAAACCAATATAAATACGAATATTTTTTCTCTTCTTATTTTTCCTCTTGAAAGTTACCTTCACAAGCCATTTTTTTATTTCGTCATTATTTGTGTAAAATAAAATGACATTATATGGGGATTTGATATATCTGTTTTCTTCCTATTCATGACAAAATTTTGACAAAAAAAGGTAAAGGAAGAAAAAGAATGTACAAACATTGAATCATTATTTTTTGTCGTTTTAAAATAAACGTTCGTAATATGAAAAAACAGATAATTAAGTGGGAATATTTCACAAGAGAATGAGTCGAAAGAAAAATAGAAGAAGAAATCCAACGAAGGATTATAAGTCATATGAGAAAAAAGAAATAGTAATAAATTGTCAACAAGGTTATTTTTTATAAGGATGAATAATTTCTTTTCGTCTATTAGTACTTGCATTAATTGTTTATGCACATTCTTTATTCTTCTTTGTTGTTTTTTTTATGCATTCTGATCGTAGATTCTTTTTAAAGACAGCTTTTAATGTTGAAAGATTCGATTGAAAAATAATTATGCAAGAAAAAGAAATCGACAAATTCCAAACAGATAATGAAGTCTTTTTTTCACTAGAATTTTTTTTGATTCATCTGATAATGTGAACCATCTGTAGTTCGTTGAGAGCTATGAAATCGTATATTCAAATTTTCTGTGACATCTAACAGATTCTAATGAAAGTAAAAGTTAGAACTATTTCTAAAGTATAGTTCAGTCTATATATCTTATGAACTATTTAATCGTTTGATTAGAATTAGCTCACTCAATGAAATTCTATGATTTGTATCAAACTGGATATGCACAGTTTTTACGATAGTTGAGTGAGAAGATTGAACGTGAAAAAATTGATTGTCTTACACTAAGGAAAAGATAATTAGAATTGTTTTACCTCTTGGTTCACTTCATTCTAGAAATCATTTATGAAACTTACAATGGAACATATATGAGAGTTATATAATTAGAACACGAATTTCAAATTATTCAGTTCGATACAGACCTTGATGAGGATGTAGATGTTTGATTTATCTTTCGTTCATGTCAGCATTCACCCTGAAGCTGTGGATACCAACGGTACTGAAATTAACTTTTCAAAGTAAAATTCAACGTTTGGTTTTCCTACGAACCAACAGCAATCGATGCTTATCATGAAAAAGACGACATGGATAATATATGATCTAGATACTTATTAAAAATTCAACACATTATAATAATTTAATCTCTGATAGTCAATAAAATATGGTAAATTTTACTATTTGATTTATATGAAAGTGATGAGAAAATTATTTTAATTCAATAGAATTAAACTCTAGTATTAATATTAGCAGAAAATCAATGTAAACACAAAATATATGTAATAACCTTCTATATTAAAAATCCTTATATTGAATAGCACTTCAATAATGATTATTGCTCAACAATCTTTATATGAACAAATTATTTCTTCTATTTCTTCATCAAATATTATTTATATAATAACCAAATTAAATGAAAAGATATGAAATAAATAATTAAATATTTAATCTACAATTTTTATTTTAATAAATTTGCGTGATTATGTGTTGTACGCGAGAATATCATGAAACTTAACAATACATATAAACATGAAAAAAATGAAAGTCACATCACATCAATTGACTATATTAGAAACAATAGACTCCACTACTTTCTTTCCATCGAGCATCTCTGCTAACCAATTATCGTGGTCATTCTTCTGCTTCACATAAGCATCGAGCGTTTGTCGACATCTTGCCCGAATACGTCGCAGTGCTTGCAGCTCCATGACGGATAGTTGTGTGTGCAGTTGCTCGCATGCAGGAAACACATAATCGATAAAACCATCTTGCAGACCAACGAGAATCGCTTCGTTGCGTTCAGGATGAGCCGATACACACAATAGTTGCGTGACGAATTCACGTACATGTTCGCTAGTATCTTTGAGTGCGACACCGGCAATCTCTACCACACCGAGTATGAGACCATTGGTTGTCACCTCGTCCATACCAGCACACGTATCAGAATCCGGTAAGAAGCCGTACAGTGCTCGAAGACATCGAATAGCCATCATACCGTAGGTGCTGGCGCATTTGGCAGGAAACGAGGGCAGGTATTCGAAGGGTACGGCCGATACTGACAGTAGAGATAAAATGGCATGATTCTTCTCTTGAAGAGATAACGGCGAGAAGAAATTCGTCGGCATCAGACGACTCGTGTACTGACGAGGTGCAGACGGGCAAGCAAGGATGTCAGACCATTCGCATGTGACACCAATAACTGGAAACTTTGTCTCGGCACCTGTAAATGCTTCGTAGGATCCGGTTCTCTTGATCGGAAGATTGTGTCGGTTTAAATCGCAAATCCATGCTTCGAGAACGGCGACTTCTTGCGACGTGAATGCTCCGAACATTCGTCCACCCCACTTCATCTCGCGAATCAGTTTACTTTTTTCAGGTTCACCGCGAACGACCCAACGACTATCCGCAAGTGCACGTAAGAAGGCTAGCGAGTGAGTCGGATAGAGGATCGGATCGAGCCAGTCATCAAGCTTCTTTCCCATTCGACCACCAATCTTTGCAGAACAAGATGCATGCATCGGCTGAGCTGCAATAGTCTTCTCACCGAATATTTTCTCCAGTGCTGCATCGAGATCAGATCGAGGTGACGGCGTCGTAGGAAGTTCAGATGCCAAAATGAAACCTGCCTGAATACGTTTCCAGGCCGTGTCTCGCTCGGCGACAGGAAGTGATGCCATATAACCGATAACAGCGTTGACACCCATTGCTGCGTGACCCGAATGGTTATTGTCGATCGAAACATGCAAAACGAAATAATACGGATCGATGTTCAGTTCGCGCAGTTCGTAGATAGTAATGAGGATATGCACTGGTAGGCTTTCGTAAGACATGTTGAAGCCGAGAATCTCAGGAAGAAATGATTCGGGGAAAAGGGAGATGCACAATTGAGCGATGGCCGCCGTCCAAACGCGACTTTCGTTATTCAGGTTTCGTAACGAGGAGATGAATTCTTTGGAATCGCCATTACCAATATCATCGACGTCAATGGACTGTAAAAGTTGCTGGTAGACCCAAACGTGGTTTTTCTGCAGATCACCATCGCCGAATTCTTCGCTGAGAATTTGCCATAACGTCTTGGTGTACGAACGGTGTGCGAGACTTGTTGTCACTCGATGTACACCACCGAGCCAAGCACCATCAACGTACTTGACAGGTGCGGCACTGCGGAGCCAATATTTGGCATGCTCTAGATCAGGGAGCAATTCACGGGCACCTCCAGCTTTTCGACGTTTCAAGTAAGCCTTGAAGCGTGTGCCGACGTTGGTATATTCTGCATTGAGAAATTCAGTGAGCGCCTCGGGTGAAAATGTAGGCACCGCATTAAGAATGTTCTTTGAACACGATGCTCGTGCTCTGTCTATGGTAACGTCGAAGAGTGAGAGAAGGCGTTGATAGGCGACACGTAGAGCTTCCGGATAGTATTCGAGGTTTTGCAATTGATAGTACAGTTGCTTATCGAGGCCGAGCGGAAGGATCGTGGTTGTAGAGTAGTCGTCCGAAACTAAATTCTTCTAAAAGAAATAAACAACATTAGCGTGATTTTTAATGAAAATAGACGTTCACACGTTATGTCAGTGAAAAACGTACTTTATGAGAGGCAAGCTGCTGCTTATTCACTTCATGTTTGTCAGTGCCATCAGATATTCTTCCGTTTATTGTACGAGTGAGCCAACAGTAGATCGAGAGAAGAAGTTCGAGAAGGACCGACAGTATAAGAAGCATATTGATTGTATATGTATTGACGACGATAATGATTCAGCAAAGATTTTTAAAAGAAATGAATGTAGAGAGTATCTAAAAAGAATCAGATTAGTTTTAGCTATATATTGTTTTTTTTATTGTATTTCATCGGTTATTGAATTGAAAATAAATGACAAGAACAAACTTTTGTTATTAATGGGTAAATATATATATATTCATGACAAAAATCGCCATTAATCGATATTTATTTCCATGTTTTTATGAAAAAATGAAAACAGTGTACGAAGGTTAAATACAACCATGTATTCATCGACAAGCGACGTAATGCTTACATTGTATTTTTATCCTCGTGTTTCTCGACGAGAAAGAAATAAGAATATCACATGGTATATGCACGTGACTTTTTGACCCTTCCTTTCGTATCATTATACTGCGTTGACGATGGACGAGAGAAGCTAAAGAAAGAAAGAAACAATGAAAGAGAAAAAGAGAAAAAGAAAGAAAGGATTAATTTCGTCTTCGACGTCAGTTACATTTTACGTTCGTACTCTTTCACTTGAATATCAACCAGTACAGCTGAATGT